TATTTTATTAGGGTGGCTAACTGCTTGAATTACAAAGTAACTTACAAACTATTTGATGAGAGCAAATGACAAGCCTCCACAGATAGCGGTAAATTTAACAATAAACAAATATCTCTGACCTTAGTTAACAATGAAGTGAACAATGTTATTTAAATACATTGAAGTGCAAAAAACATAAAGTCAAAATCCACAAACTAGAGAACATAAAACAATATAAATAATAAATATCAATCAATAGCACTATGGGTGTTGGCTATAATTGCGTTTATGTATGACAAGCTGTCCGAGAATATGTCAAGAGAAGTATCTTGACCCTTGTTAGTGGCATTAACTAATTTAGACACGCGAATAAGAAAGGCATTGCTACGGTGAACTGTACGTGAAAATGGAGTATGGAACAAATTTCTAGGACGACAGTGTCGAGGTGGTATATTTAATTTAATTTTTGCAACCAGTTCAGGGCAGTCAACTTTATTTTGCGCTATTTTAGAGAAGTAACGCACATCCGAGATTTTCCTACGGACCTCAAGGGGAAGAAGATGGAAACGAACACATCTATCACGGTATGGTATTACTGGAATTTTAAACTTAATGCATAGGAATCTGGTGAATTTTCTCTGAATTCTCTCTAACCTGGAGATATGAACTGAGTAATTAGGGCTCCAAATTTGACTGGCGTATTCAAGTTGACTTCTCACATAGGCACAGAGAAAATGCACTAGAACAAAACAAAAATCGACAAACAAGGCGCTTCGTAGCGGTGCGTCGGCGGCGATGGGCAACAACACTCCAGCGCAAACGGTCGGCGGACCCTGAGCTCCGTTAAGAGTACTATTACTATTAATACTATTCTATGCGACTGAGTACGGGAAACTCCCGACAGAACAATGAAGCCGGCTGGCTTTTATCCAGGGTCGAAATCGGTTCACCTTTTTATTAATTCGTCTTTTGATATCACGCTTTTTTTAATGTTCTTTTTAAATGCAATTACTTAAATACTATTTTAATAACAAATTCCTCAATGTTTTTAAAATAAAGTACATTTGTGTTAATGATGAATCGCTGGAAGATTCGAGCGTTTATCGAGTTTAATTAACGATACGAGTTTAATTAAAGGAATGTTACTCCATTCAAACAAATTTTTTGGAGACTGCTCTTTTAAAATAACGTAGATTAACGTTAGACTGATCTTTCTACAATAATTTAGGAAATGTTACACTTGGTTTCTGAATTGAGAATTTAAAGTTAAACGTCTCAAACTAACATCTCTTAGTTTTGGTTTCCGATTTTAGTTTTTTGATAATCAGTTGATAGCAGTTTGATAAAACTAGGACTATTTCACTTGTGAAACGCATAAAACTTAGGTTATTGAGAATAAGCAGAAGAGATTTTCTACTTTTTTCAAATCAGAAACCGGCTGTTAGCATTTTGACTGCCTTGTTTAGTGATTGTCTGGTAGATTTTGCATGAAAGCGGTCTTATAAATCACAAACTAGTTTATTTCGTTTTTAGAAATGAAGAAGTCAATGACCGATTAAAAACTTGTTTCTTAGTACGTCCCAAAAACAGCTGACTCAGGGTTGAAAACACTAATTTTTTTTCCAAAAACTTTGTAATTTAATATCTCCGAAACTATTTGACCTAGATATATATTTTTTTACATCATATTAAAGACAAATAGTACTCTTCAGGAACTTCGGGAGTGTCGGTCGTTCTGTTCCACGGAGTATACTATATTTTATCCCGAAAAACAGCAAATAAAAGGATGAAAACGGGAGTGGAAGTTTGTATTGAGAATGAAAACGTTACCATTGTAACGATTGTTTTCTATTCAATTTGTCATTATAATTACATTCGTGTCAGTTCCCTAGGGTCCATGCGGGCCGCTGCCGCTGCCGCTGGCGGAAAGCTAGTATTTAATATTTTTAGAGTTACCTATTATATAAAAAATATAAATATCACTAAAAAGTATGTAATAATAATAAAAATAATAATAAAATTATAAAAAAAAATAGAACCAACATCAAACTTTAAAAAAAAAAATAAATAAACTTATCTCAAAAGCGACTTATTAAAGAAAATGCTTTATTTTAAGCAGTTTACAAATAAAAAAGTTGTCAATTTGAAGTGACGTGTTCGCCAAAATTGCTATGAACTATTAACTGTTTTATTAAATTTTCGTCTTTGATATATTGATCATCGTCATTAACTATTTGACAGCCAAACTGCAGTGCCTCAGGCCTTTGTTTAATAATTTTTGGTCACCCATCCCGTGAACAACTCTTGCGAAAATATCGATCGTGCGCAGCGGCGCTTATCCGTAGCGCCACCGAGCAACGAATTAATATTTTCTATAAAATGATAATTTGTATGATGAAAAATAAAAAAATAAGATTCCAAAATCTTGCAAATTCCAAAGTAAGTTGATCTTATTTATAAATGGCCAATGATATTAAATAGGGTTCCGCTTATAATGGACGTGTGGTATAAGATCATGCGAGTAGGAGAACAAGCGAAAAGAGCCTTCCGATGATGCAATTAAGCATCGAGTAGTTTACAGTGAACGCATATTTTTATCAGAGTAGGTTCACGTCGTCGTCGGGACCAGCGGAGGTGGTTAGCAGCCGCCCCCGCATTGCACGGTTTCGTCTGTCCGGGTGAGGTACTCGATTTCCCGAGCCTCTCTAATTTTCCATCTGCAAGGGGACCAATGGTCCACTTAAGTGTTCTGATGACGCGGCCATAGCTTGCCTGGTTTCATCTCCCATGAGACGGTGTAGCGTACGTGTTTTGATGGGTAGGCCTCTGGGAACCCAATGAGCAGCTCACTATCGGGTTCACGGAGGAGAATTCTACTCACCCCCTGTTGCTTGCCACGTAGCAGAGACAATGTCAGAAGTTTTTCCACGACGTTAAAAAAGTTAGATTCACGTCAACTGAAGAACGAAAAGACTTTTTTCTCTTATTACTATTATTTATGTGAATACTACTTTTGTTTTTTTTAACATACAAATTTGCTGTAGATCCGTACTTCAAAGTTGGTATTTTCAGTCTTCGCCGGAAACAATGGTTTATTCATTGGTCACAACACATATAATATAACGCGATTCTGAGGATCGGTTCAGAGTAGCTCGGTGGCGTAGTGAATAAACGCCATGGCCCGCGATTGTAGTTGTTAAGCAACTTTCGCAAAGGTCGGTCACAGGATGGATGAACAAAAAAATATTATGTCAAGCAACTCCAAGCTTTGGAAGTCACGTAAAGCTATTGGTCCCGGTTGTATTTGCAGTACTTAATATCCTCCAATTCGCATTGGGCCAGTATGGAGGGACGTAGCCCATCCTCCTTAATCCATAAGGCTCCTGCAGTTGGTAACGTAAAAGGGCTGATGATGATGATGATGATGGCCGTTCAAATCTGACGGAAGCTCAGTTAAGCACCTCTCGGAAGTATGTGTTATTAGACGATTTCCTCCAAAACTGGAAAGTCGAAATTAAAATATGTATATTTTTTTATATCAATAAATAAAACTCCACATATCTTCCGTCAGACATGTACCGACCGACTTTTATTGACAAAGAAAGAGATCGGACGGAAAGCGCTCGGTCTCAGGAGACACCTGAAAAACGCGAAGCGTATTTAACTACCGATTGCCAGGCTCATGCACTATAAAGGTGAATCTGAAGCATTTATCGTCAGGAACAATCTCTTGAGCTCTCGGAGAACTCACACAACAAACGTTTGATCTCAGGGAACTTCTGAAGATCGCATAGCACGTCTAACTGCTGATCGTAACATACATGCAGTATGGTATGAATATAAAACTTCCTTTGATAGAGAAATGCGCTTGGTCTCTGAAAGAGCTCGCAGTTTACACAATAGAGATCGAGCATTATCGATTATCACCAACCCGTGTTGCCTTCATACTCCACAGGCGTACCGCAGATAAGTTTTCACAAGGTATAATGAACTAGCTGTTTTCCCGCGACTTTGCCGCAAAATTATAGCCTATGACATCCGTGATGTAGCTTCCTGTAGGTCGAAATCGAAGCAAACAAACAAACAACCAAATCTTTCCTCTTTATAATATTAGTATATCTTAGGTATAAAAGGTCCGATGGCGTAGTGGGTTAGCGCATTCGGTTGCAGTGAAATAAATAAGTAAAATATTGCACAAAAAAGACATACATGAATACTTTTTTTACATAACTAAGTACAAATGACAAACTCATCGCTAGCAAGCGATTTCTTCCAGGCAACCTAGCATTACATGGAAAATAGAACAATAAATAGCCGATTGTGCATACAACTAGACAAATAATAATTATTTTAAAAGATCAAAAACAAAAGAAGGACATTTTCAAGGTACGAATAAAATTCTCAGACACAAGCGACAACCAGAGCGCGAGAAACGAGAAAAAAAGATAGAAAAATAACATTTGTATGGACCGTTCACAGGATGGGCGACCAAAACATTATTATCTTTTATGCACTCTGCACAACACTGGCACAATGTACGTTAAGCCGTTACTCCTGGCTACATCAGCAACATTAACACCCACCGATCCGCATTAAGCCCGTTTAGTGGGCTATGGCCCATCATCTTATTCGATTCGACTCCATTCATAGAAATAAAAGAATTCTACCAAAATACTTCCCACGCAGACGAAGTTTCGGGCACAGCTAGTTTAATTAATAAACCTACGGAAGACCTCCGCCCGATTTCAATAGCATTTTCTGGAATAAGTCGCTTTTGAGTTATGCATTATCTATGACTTTATTAAAGTTTGAAGTCGGTTCTATGGTTTTTTAAGTTTTTATTGATTTACTACAATGTTACGATCATAACATGTTTTTATCTTATATCAAAATAATGTCCTCGACTGCTCTCGGAGGACCACGACATAGCACTTCTGCCCTTCTCCTTATTGAATGTACTCGCAAAAATGAATTTACTTTTTGGATCATTGATAAATTAATAGCCAATTTTTCGTTAATAGGTCTGCTGTTAAGTGGCAAAGGAACTTTTGGTCTCGAGGTTACCACATTAACCAGCCTCGGAAAGGAGGTCGAAGATAACAGCCGATATAAAACACTGGAGGCTAACGCAACACTTCTAAAACTACTCGTCGACAACAAAGATGGCGTCAGCAGGTATCATCTTCCACTTGCCTACTAAAACAAAAACTATTGATTATAGTACCTAATGAATATGTTAGGAAATTGTCTTTCCTCTAAATCTAAATGCTTAGCCACCGCCCTGACATTGATTTCCTGTCCAAATTTGTCATTTTATAAAAAATCGACTCTTCATCCCCATCAGCAGCCGATTAATGTTGGTACTACTAAAGCATAGGCCTTTCATATGGATAGAATCGAATCAAATCGTATAAGATTCCCTCTATGTAATGGTCCACGACGTACCACGTTATACCAAGTATACTCTTGAATTTTTGATATTTTGCAGATCTGAAGTATTCGACATGCTGCACTCTCGTGATGAGAACCAGGATCATATAGATCTGCCCAGCTTTCCTGAGGATTCCGAAGATGAACGTCTCCTGGTTCCTGACCCTCCTGACTCGCAAGCAGAGTTCTTACAAGGTATGCTTTGAATAAAGCAGGACAGCACGATGCTAACAATATATACTTAATTACTCTTCATTTTGGGTAATGCGCGAACAAAATTTAGAAGTTCTTTCGTTTCGATGTCTTGAGAGAAATTGTTGCTACCTTGTTGTTAAGTTAATTAAATTCAGTATACAAGTATTATTGTTTTTACCCGACTACGGCGAAGCGAATAGGTTATGATTTTGGCTAGTATGTATGTATGTAAGAATGTTCATCTGTTTCCTTACAATTTCGAAACTTCTCATCGTAACTGCACAAATGAGGTATCATTAGAAGCGTCTTAGTTGCCGGACGCTATGTGACTTTAGATTAAATTGGCAACAACGCCCTCTAGAGAGCAAAAAATAAGAAACTAAAAAATATATTATTCAATCATTCATTCTTCATCGTATCAAATGAAAGGACGCATTTCATCCGTTTTTGCTTAAATGCACCCGAAAAAAACCCGACTACGGCTACATCACGCTATTTTATTATGATCAGAGTAGCATACGACTACGCTATCATTTGGTCATCGCTATTATAATATAGTCATCGCTATATAAATAAATTTCTTGTTTCAAAATTTTTACAGCGTGATTTAGCTGTAGCCGGATTTTAGTTATTGGTTTTTTTTATTTAGCAGAGACAACGATCGGCAAAGAGTATCAGAGATCGCGATACAAGGGCGCTCGTGGGGAGCCATTCGGCGCTGCCGCTGGGATCATGGTGGTCATCACTTGCACCATTGTCTGCCTAGCATATGCTGGGCTCATCATCTGGCGGAGGATATATCTGTGAGTACTAACAATAAAAACTTTAAAATTTTTGGATGATAAATGATTTAAATCTACTCGTACTACAATAGCACAATATTACTTAAGTACTTCGGCCAGCCATTTATTACGTAAGACGATCAAGGCTGAGTGCGGTCCATCATGTCTTATTTTTTTCTTACAAGGGCTAAGTAATTAAGACTTGGTTACACAAGGTTAAAAAAAAACTAAAAATAGTGAAAAAAAGGGGTTGAATAGGGAATTTAAGTTCGTATGGTAGTTCGTCATTATCGAAGATAAAATCATGAAACTTCATATGCAGTATTTTACACGATATAATGAATAGTATCATTTTAGCGTTTTTTAGCAATGCTGCCCAAAGTAACGCAGACGAAGACGCGGGCAAAGGCTAGTAAGAAATAAAGTTCTCAAGTCGCTAACTTTGTTAATAGGAAGAAGAAGGCTCAAAGTTAACCCTGTTAGTCTAGTCGTAGATTCCAATAAACAAAATTTGTTCCTGGTAAAACAACTATTGATTCGAAATAAAAGCTTTTTCAGTGTTAAACAGTACACAGTTTATCCATTAGTAATTTGACTCGAAGGCCCATAAAAGTTTATTTGGGGTTGTCTACGCTGACGGGTCGTTGCAGGAACTCTTTATTTGTGGCTTCCCTCACTTGCGAGGCGTAAAGCCTACATTGTGTAGAGTAACCTGACACTAGTCGAGGCGAGGATGCGTAGGATGCGGTCAAAGGCGGCGGAAACCGCGTCCAAGCAAAACACGCTTCGACACTTTCGCCTTGGACGTAAAACAAAAGGTCTTAAGTAGGTATATATAAGTACGTATTTATTAACACTGATATATAGAGAAATCGAACGTATTTTTACGATCACAAAAGATTTCGTTGATGTTATGTCTTTACAAACATTTTATGATTAAAAACCCTTATTACTTTTTGTTTTCAGAAAGAGGAATGGTTTGAAACACGAATTACTGAGAAATGAAGAAAATGTAGCGGAAACTCGAATAGAGGTAAAATTCCAAATAACTTTTTTTATAAATATTATACTATTAGGTGGCTAATAATAATATTTAGATTATATTGTAGACAAAACATACAAAAATAGACAGCATAGACTGTACTGGAATCGAATCTCTTTCACTGAGTCAACCTGTGTACACTCGTTGGTAGTATAGTTCCGTGAGATGGTTCGCAAATATACTCGTACACCGGCCTTTAGGGTTCATCATAGATTTATTATGAGTTCTCTCACTCACATTGACAAGAGAATTAAAACATATAAAATTCACCATCTTTTCCGTTTCTTCTTGTAATTATACCCTTTTTATAGGGAAAATTGTTTAATATGCGATTCAACTTGAAGGCCTTTTAATATCTAAGTAATGATGAACTCTATTATAGTTTTTAGGTAGTCTGGTAAATTAGATTTTAATAGTAACAGACATCGGAAAATACAGTCGGAAAATACAGAAGCAAATATACATTATTACTTACATAAAAAATGACGCAAGTTGATGCTGTCTTAACTTTAGGAAAAATGTATGAACTTCCTTATCAGATACCTTGAATTACCTCTCGTAAACGAAGAAACACTCGTATCCTATGGTAGAGAGAAATAATTACGTAAGAATATTTCATAACTAAATCAGATATTTATACCACATAAACAAAATTTTGAATGAAGTAGGTAAGGACTGTTAATAATAATTCTTTCGTTAGCGAGAACGATATCTTATAAATTTCTTGTATAGTTATTAATTATATGACTTCGGGTAAATATTTGATAATGTTTATAATATTCTCATGTAAGTGATCATTGTTTTGATGAGAAATAAAGATCTTTAAACCGAATAAGTTTGTATTATAATTATTAGCCTTAAGAGTTCTTACTTCATTCAAATAATATTTGCTTAAAAATTAGTCGTAATTACTTCTCACGTCTAAAAATTTACCTACCGACTTAGCTAACCGAAAAAAATGAAATCGAAAACTATTGCCTTTACGCAACCCGTTCGTGCGGCGAAATACCTTGTTAGTTAAGCTAGTAAATTACATTTTTAACATTCATTTTCTTAGAAGACGTCTTAAGACCTGTGACCAAGTAGTCGTAAGATAACGTCTGATTTTCCGGGTTTTATTTCCGGTCGGGAAATTTACAAAATTGAAACTTTTGTAGGCATATTGTCACCGTTGTTTCTGATATACATAAGAAAAGGTTGTAAACTACTTAAATGGTTTGGACTCTGAGCAATATGTGTTCTTTAATATATATATATATATATATATATATATATATATATATATATATATATATATATATATATATATATATATTTTTTTTTTTTTTTTTTTTTTTTCAGTTGTGAAGAATTAACCTGAATGTCGTCGGTACCTACCACCAGTCTCCCGGCTCTACCTTCTCGACTCTTCTAATCGTCCAATGTTATTGGTACAAATAATTCGGGAAAAAAGACTGATTGATTTAGCTAATAACTGTTAGTGTTTATCATTTGTGATGTCCTAATTTGGTGACCATGATGACTGATGAAAATTATAAACATTGCGTAGAAATATACTTAGCAGTTTCTATAAATTTTAATGTTGTTTAAAAGACAAATATTTAATATATTGCCCTTAATGTATTATAAGGACTTCTCAGTAATGCGAATGATTTGTAAGTCTTGCCTAATTGTACACTATTATCTTAAAATGATTTGTACCTAATCCGAATTTACATATTTTTAATAAATAATAACCTGCGAGAATTATGAAAAATAGTTACTAGCTAAAATTTTAAAATTTACCACTATTTAAGGTTAGTTGATGCATAGCTGACGGAAATCCATCGCATAACATCAATCGCGTGACTTCAAAACTGAGGAATAATTTGACATTCAACCTTGCCATTCACTCACCCGAGCGATGGGCCGTAAAAACGAAAATACGTTTGTCAGATTTTCAGTCAGGTTTGCAACAGCAACACAACAAACTTTAAGCATTTTCCCTTCAAAGTGAAAGCTTGATCCTCTATTAATAAAGGCAATCATTTTGATTTATGAACTGTGATTATTCTATTTGAACAACAATTATGAATGCACTACTTTGTAAAACTATTGCCACTCAACTGTGCCATAAAACTAAATTAAGAAATTTAAAAAAAAAAATAATTCAATGAAAGTAAAATTTTGTTCTTGTTTTAATTGAGTCCAGATATACTGCCTAAATTATTATGGATAATACTGATTAAACAATTATCATAACCCATATTGGAATGATAACAAATATCTTATCATGATAATTTTTATCATGATATCCTCATTGGCATGATAACAAATATTATTTAATGTGTATGTTAAAGTCAAAACATATCTGTGATTTGATCATATTCTTTATAAGTTAGAGAAACTTAAGGAATAAAAGATGAACAGTAATGTTGTTTTCTTATTTTCAAATAAAAGTACATTTAAAAGCAATAACAATTTATTTTTTCACATTATCAAGTAGATATTCAAATATTTATTTTAAAAAAAAAACTTAATAAAAGCAAATTGTAAAACGAAAAAAATTGTGTAAATTCAGAAAATAAAATATATTACGTACAACAAGTTTGAACATTTTATACATCAACTGAGCAAATGGGTGCACATGTGAACAATATTACATTTAACAATTTTAAGCTAATTAGATCACATTTTGTTATCACTTATTCTTAAACGAGTAAACTCGATTTCTACTTGATTTCCTTGTGCCTGACTACTGCCGGACCAGTGTTGTCACCGGTTTCCTTGTTGTGAGCACCATGTGCCCCGTCACAATAGGGCCACTGTAAGATCAATGTTAAATTAATTTCATATCAATATACAATTCCTTAACTAAAATACATATATAAAACTATATATGAAGCTAACAGTGCAAGCAAATATATTTTATTTAATTCGCAGTTGAAAACTTTATCATTTGAAATATGTAAAAGTAAACAAGGTATAAATAGTGATTACTATATTATTAAATGCTGAATAAAATTTCTATTGTGTAAAACTGGAGCACACTTGATAACTAAACCAGTGTACAATATATGATGTAGAATGATTTAGTTATCAAGTAATCAGTTGTATCTGTGTAATCTCTAGATCAAAGATTACACAAATATAATTTTATTCATTAGATAGCTTGATGTAATTGTATATAAACTTAATAAATAAATGACAATCTTACATTTTTGCTTCTCCAACATCTGCAAAGTGAGACTTTCTCTGTGATGTCTTCAATATCAATGAAATCTACAACTTTGTTTATATCCTTTCTAATAGAAGGATTTACTTGGCCATTGCCAGCCTCACGAGCCTTCTTTATTGTTTGATATGATACATATGAGATACCCCCTACTGCCAAAGTTGGTGGTAACAAAGCAAGCCAATCACGAACTGAAAATATAATAAAATAATGTCAATTATTATTATTTTTATTAATAATTACAATAACTAACTCTTAGCAAGCACGGAAAGTATGTCACAGATTTTAACGTAAGAAGGCAATGAGGATAATAATACTAGTAATTGTGTACTATAAATTCAGTACCTATCTCCTTCAAGGTTACCTAACTTTTATAACACGATGCTTTTCATATTTGCTTCTTTTAAAATTTCTTTCTAGATTTTGCTAATTAATAACAATCAATCAGTTAATTAGATAACTGACATGCTCTCTTACCTCCTAGACGAAACCAACCACCGAAACTATCAGGGATGGGTAACCCAGCTAAGTAATTAGGAATTGTAACTTTAACTAAATTCGAGAAAATATACATTTTTGCTTAAAAAAAAATACTGTATGCGACAGTTACGTTACGATACCCAAAACGATACCGATAAAATTAGGGAAAGACAGGGGTAGAAAACACGATCACCCGATGAAAACGCCACCGATACCCGACCAAAAATAATTTAAAAAAAAAAGTAGAAGGGATCCCAAACCCAGACTACATTTTTAGCCAAAGAGTAACATAAAGTAAGTTAAAAGCCATCTACACGATAGGAAATCTAGACTCCTATTACCAGCATGCGTATTATCGAATAATCAAGAATATTTACAAAAATATACGAAACAGACAAAGTATCTAAAAAATAAATTAAAAAAGTTATGTTACTAGAGGATAGCACAAATTGTAGGATATGATGGGGTTATTAGCGACGGATGTTATCTGCGATAGACAGTTATGCAATTAGTGATTTGCCTGAACCGCGATCACTCGTGATTGAGCGAGTGATATAATAACTATTTATTTTTCACAACGATTTAAAGTAAAGCAGTTGGGCGACTCACTTTACAATATCCACGATCGCCAAGAAGCGGCGACCATAGTTCTCAGCGATACGTAGACATCTTTCAAGAGGTCAACGCTTTAAAATGACGGTAATGTTATACAATTTTAGTCTCAAAAATAATAATTTCCGTTCGATTTAACTAACATATTGAAAAACAGAAATTTTTCAGTGTTCGAAACATAGATAACAATACAAATACGAAAAAGTACAAATAGAACACGAGATGCTTACCGTAGCAACATCTGTAATTAAATAATAATATAAAAACGAAAATTGAAGTGCTGGTGTTGTTCATCATTCTCATTACAATCACTGTTTACAATTGTAAATACCTCATTATTCTATTGATTTCTTAACTAAGATTTCTTCTTTTCTTTGTTCTTGCATCATGTTAAAATAAAAGTATAATTTTAGAAGGTTCATCGAAAAATCTTCACTTTTTAAAGAAGTAGGTCCATTTTCTAGTGTTTATTCTTGAAAATGGATATAATGTCGCGAATGGAGAATAGTTTTTTTTGTATATAATTGGGTTTAACTTGTGTGGCGACTGATACATAGCGACATCTAACTCATCGCACTAACATCGCCACAAGAATCGATAGCGAGAATATTAGCATCGTCACAGCCATCGATAGTAAAACGAACTGCAATAAGTTTCAACAGCAAGTAACGAGATGGCGCTATACCAATACAAACAACATAAATTAATAACTACAAGGCATTTAGAACAAAGAAACCTACATCGCCCACAATAAGTTTCATTACCAATTAGCATAAATAGAACGTCCAACCTAGATCGGTTGGACCGCGCTCCCCGGGCTAACAACACCTAGCTCGGAGGGAGACAATTATCCTTTAGTCTCCCTGGCCAGTTGTCTCCATCATCAAGTAGGAACCAACCTTCAACCATAAGGTTCCTAAACTTGTATAATTTAAGTTTAATTTAACTTTTGTATTTTTGAGAAATAAATGAATAAATTATCAAAATTACGTGTTTTGTATTTTCATGGTTGACTAGGACCTCATTCATACTGCAGTATGTCGTCGGACGCGTATAGTGTGTAAAAGAAAACGAGGGCGCAGGTTGAGCCCCGCACCCGTCGCCGAATAGACTTAAGACGGCACAGAAAATAGTTATTTTGCTATCCCTACAGAAACCACATAGTGACGGCAAGACGACGTGCAGGGTAGCACGGGAAGTGTAGAGTTTCGAGCCTTGTGTTAATAGGGTATTTGACACTTTTCTGAAAACTATTTTAAATCGTTGTTTGCTACATTATAAATACACTGTCATAATATTTCATTGGAATCTTTTCTAATTTTGGTGAAAATAATTGTTAAAATTTAAATAGCCAAAAGCGCGCGAAAAACGCTGCTCTATGTAATGGCGCTGATCGTGACGTCACAGGCCAGTAAATATCATAGAGTAAGGTAGAGTGGAAATATTTTCTATGGTTATATAAATATCATGCAATCTGAAGTTGACATCAAAAACATTATGTTGTCTTTTTTTAACTAATAAGAAGTTTCTTTAGTAAACAAAGATAACACTAGTGTGACAGTTCAAAATTATTTACGTGACGTCATGAGATATAGCTATCGTACCACCTGTCAGCCATTTGCAAATTTGCTTTGCGTATTCTCGGAAGTAGTTCAGTTGTCAGTGTTATAAGTTTTGTGGTTATTTTCATTTATAACTTTAATTTATATAACTTTCATGGCAGAAAATTGTAAATTATTTATGCAAAACAATGCCTAGGTGCTGTATAATTGGTTGTGCGTCATCAATATCCCGCAAACCGAGTAATATTACGTTTCACCGGTAAGTTAAACACTTTCTTGGAATAACAGTATTTAAAACGTAAGTAAGTTATTCTGAAAATGATTGCGTGTATAAATCGATACATATCGTATTTTGGCGTGTTCTATTTATGCTATATTGCTCTTTTCGTTTATATTTTTATAATATTTCGGTCCGTAAATAATATTGTTTACATGGCTAGTGTCGTTACTTTAACATATGGTTTATATCGATATTTTTAATATTTAAAAATATATTAATTATTTTAGATTACCAAAAGATGAAACAAAAGAGGAAAATGGCCGAGTTACATAGAAGCAGAAAATATTAAATGTAATGAAAAAGTTACTTTTATCTGCTCACTTCATTTTAGGGAAAGTTGTTTGAATCGAACTTTAAATATAATAAAATTACGAGATGATGCATTGCCAATCAAATACTCTGGTAAGAATTTTTGACAATTGCTTTTAACTTATTTAAAAAAATGTCTATTACACTTAGTTAATTTTCATTTGATTTTACTGATTTATTTATTTAGTTTTTTATATAGTCATTTTGTTATTCTATAAATGTACCTTATTTTTAGTCTTGCGGTCATATGACGACTATTTTAATTGAAAAAAATCAGAATGCAATATATAATAATATTAAAATATAAAATTCTGATCATAATATACTCCCAGTAAAATATACAATAAAATGAGTTAAATAATTTTAATAAAAATTAAAATATGCACACTTATCAAATTAAAGGCATAGTTAAAGGTTTTCTTTGCTGTTCAATAGTATAATCTTAATACCCAAATAATTATTTTGCGGCGTGGATGTGTATTTTGCTGATGCATCATAAAATACGCTACCTTTTTGAATTTAAATTGCTGACCGTTATCAGGATTGTTCACAGAACATGAATTGCAGACTGTTGTAGTGCTGAGAAAATATTTGTATGCTTGCCTATTGATTAATCGGCTGTTTTCTTCTTGCTAACCAAATTTTTAAATAAAATGCCAATTGTTACTTCTTTAATAATGTTACTGTTATGCCAATTGTTACTTATTCATCACCAACTTTGTTTTCTTTATTTTCTCTTGTTTATTCATCAAAGTTTACAGTATTTTTATGTTCTTTTACCAATAATATAATACAAAGATTATGTAGGTGGTTCAAGTTTTCTATGTTTACTACTAAACAAGATGTTCTGAACTAAAATTGTGACACAGTACGCACGGTATCTCACTTAATGAGGAGGAAGCGAAATTTATTCAGTCAAAACAATTTATTGAATAAATTTATAGACAAGTTGGCTTACTAGTTACAAGCATATAAGAAAGTCGAAACTCTGTGCTTATAGTTCAGCAATCTATTACGGGAAACCTTGTACCGAGAAAAGAAGAAACTGTAAGAAAGGAACCGGTAAGAAACTGCAAGGGCTGCTTTTGCATCCTGTTTAATTTCGTACTGAAAAATAAAAAATGACTTCATTGGACCAAAATGTCACTTTCCACCAAAACAATAAAAAATATATAACAGACAAAAATAAGCATAATAATTCATTCGTCAATCGACTCATTAAAAGCTTATTGTAGTTACCGTGGTAGTTATCTTGGACAGTAGTCACACTTCCCGTGGATGCAAAATTAAACTTATGTTAAAAAAAACTATTTAATTATAATTGCAAAATGTCAACTTGACAATATATATGGAAATAATTATAAAACACGATTGATATTATTGTAAAACTTTTAAGATATATATTTTGGTACTATAGTTCTTAAAACTATGTAAAATTGGCTATATTAGAGGAAAAAGAAACATATTTATCGAGGTACAATCATATTATAAAATTATATTATTAAATAATATAAATGTGAAAGTTTGTGAGGATGGATGTTGGTTACTCTCATGTAAAAACTACTGAACGGATTTTGATGAAATTTGGAATACGAATAATCTTTTACCCGTGGGGAGCGCCATCATACGCTGGTAACATATGTTATATTTACTATAGTGACGCTACGGAGTCGCAAGGACAAAGAACGCAAGAAATTTTAGATGTCCAACAAAATACGAGCAAAAGATTGCTTAATGATTTATAAATAATTGATAAATTCACGCCACTTTTAAAAAAAATATTATTTTCTTGATACTGGCGTGAATTTTTCAATTTAATTAATAATAATCATAAATAGGATTGGTACATAAGTGTGAAATGAATAGAAGTGTAATAGGTAATAGTTTAGCTGTAATAGGTAATTAATAATAATATAATATAATTTTCTAACAATGAAAATTATATTATATTATTTAATAAGTAGTAGTATTGTAGCAGTTTCACGAAATACTAACTTTTATTTAACATGACTTCAATGTCGATACAAATATCGATATCTTGGGTCACGCCCTATGACAATCCGCCATCGAAGAATTTGCATTTGAAGTTTAGGCATATACGCTTTTTTCGTAGGTATGGCCGGTCCTCTTCTTTTATGTCTATGGTAAATATGTCAAACCGATAAGTAACAACTGTCATTAGAGTAAATTAGGAATGATCGATATTGGAAAAACATCGATATTGACATCGAAGTCAACATTCGATGAAAACCAAACATCGATTACGTTGCTGTTGAATAAAAGGAATTGACCAGCTTTAGAAAAAAGCCTCTCTGAAGCCGTGGAAGTCGCTGTGCAACATAAATATTTTAATGCAATCTTTTTTAATGTGGGATAGGTGAATTCTACTTCTTAACATAAAAGTAATGGAATAAGTCGTGTCATAAAAAATCACGCGGGAGTTTCACGGAGAGAGAACGAGCCCAACGAGCATAAAGTAACTTTTTTTTTATATACATAAATGACCTTTTTCCGTTTTACACAGAAATTTTGCGGGATAGTGAGAAACGGTTTTTAATAGTTTTCTTCCTTCCTTGTTTTAAAAGTACAACACAAAGCAAACGTCACAAATTGTACTAATAAATTTAATTAAAAAATATCACAATAAATATATGATAGTGCCATGTAGATTATAGTGTATTATTATATTTTTGAATATGCTTACTAGACGCAAAAAGATAGGTATGTTAGAAATAGACAAGATAGTATTAAGGTTAATGTAACGGGGGGTACTAGATGGAAGTTGCTCGTATGAAGTAGGTTGTTTCAGACAGTTGAAGAGGATGGGATCAGTGGTACCTTTTTCGATTCCGCACTCGCACGTGAAACTATCTAATGTACGGATCTAAGACCGGTAAATAAAGTAACTTATAAGATACCAACGAGCGCTGAAGTTGACAGATTTATTTCTAATTTCCTGGGAAAATGAAAGCAAAGAAAAAACTATTTGTTTGCTTACTAGACAGAAGTTAAATAAGGTTCCTTTTTATGGTATACTTTGTGACAAAATATCAATAATCATGTTACTATTAAGACTGACGGCTAAATTGCTACATATCCACTTAAATATCAGCAGCTATACTTAACTGTTGTCATTTAACCTATCTTTTAAACAAATTTATGTGTATTTGACTAACTTAAAAGATTTAATAACTATTACAATAAAAAGTGTTCATCTTAAAGAACCTAAAGAAGCAGGGTTGGATAGTTTCGGCACGATTCTCATATAAACTCTACCAAATTTAAAATGTTGGCTAATCCCTTCAAACGTTTCGGCAGTACAGCTTTCTAATTTTGTCAGACTATGATGTATTCATAATTCTCAAAATACGTAATCTGGGATCGTCATCCATTATGAATGCTACTGCCTTTCTTGTTGTTTTGCCGTTTTCCGTGATTAAGTTGTTATTGGTTTATTTTTGTTTTGTTGTTAAGTTTTGTTAAATATGTACTGGTGCAGGCCCGCATGGCCTACAACAATTACGCTCTTAACCCCCATACCTACTCTCATTCTTTGACATTTCAGGAAGTTTTTCCAATGTCTTCATCAATAGTCTAATGTTTGCATTATTGTTAGAAAAGTGATAATAAAAATTTCATTTTGTTTACCTCTCTTTCCTAGGCATAGATATAACCAAATCCTATTCTAATCATATACACTTACAATTATGTAGAATTTATCAGAACAACAGATAGATAGTTTTAGTTCCATATTGGCTTGGGAGTAAAAGATCAATCAAGAAAATGCCGGCCTTATCTCAACACCAAGTAAAAAATATATCATATTATAGTTTAACAAAACTATAATATGATATATTTTTTAAATTTATCTTGAAAATAAAATGTTCTGCACTGCTGCTTCTATGACCCTCTTTTTTTCTAATGTTATAATGAATGGAGTATATATATCATCAAAATCGACTTTGTAATATTGAATTATTATAGTAAAGTTCAAGAAATGAGAAAAACATATAAGTTGCTCTTTTTTTAAATTGCTGGCGTTTTCCCTATTTCTTGGATTTTTTAAAAAGCTTAGTAAACGATTATTTTTTCTGCATTGCTTTTTGGCAGTTCTTATCAGTAGACGCGGCAAAGTATTCTGTTATCAGTAAATTACTATAAAGTACTCGATACCTACAGGCATCGATATTTTATGTATCTCCTTACACTACTTTGACATGACAGCTGTTGACGTCACAGGCCAGTAAACAGAATCGTGATTGGTTGTGACAATGACCAATTATAGGACGTTTTCGTCGTTGAATAAATTTTTGTTATTTTACTAAATCTAAACATGTTTTTTCTGCAGATGTTAAGAAATAAGCTTTATTAGATTATTATGTATCAGGATGACCACAAAATGCAACTTATTTTCGATAGTGTCAAATACCCTATTCGTACGGTGGGTATGTTTTCTTTTACAATAACATTGAAAATACTATGTAGATGTCCTACTCAGTATATATTTTTTTTTTTAATTATTTTATTTAGCTAATTGAAGTTATTATAATATTACTGAATTACTATTTCGCCTTTGTTAAATTGGCACGCACGATTTGTACAAAATATTTTATTCTGACGAGGAACTGACGATAATGTCTGAGCTGGCTTTAGGCGCGCGTTCATCTGCTTTTCGAACATATTCTATTAATATCGTTTGACGTATGGATGCATAATGGAACATGAAAAAACAGCTCATAAATAACTGCTTTTGCTCTGCTTTTTGTTCTTCATTCCAAACTCGATATTTGTTGAATCGAGTTAATAGGGTATTTAACATTATTAAAAATAAGTTGCGTGTTGTCGTCATCCTGTTAGATAATAATGTAATAAATTTTATTTCTTAGAATCTGCAGAGAAAATATGTTTATCTTTGGTAAAATAACGTAAAGAAAATGCAACATTTTTAAGAATTTAAATGAACAACGAATACGCCCTGTAATTGGTTGTTGTCGCAACCGATAACAGATTCTGTTGTCACATGCCGACATAACGCGTAAACAGGAAACTGTCATGTCAAAACAGTGTTATTAGATATACGTAATATTATATTTATACTTGCCATATCTAGCTCAATTTTAAAAACAAAACCAGAGTAGAAAAAAATACAAACCCGATGATTATGCACATCGGGTTTGTGTTTTTAAAGCTAGAGAACTAACTTTTTTTTTAATACTTCGTCGTTGAAATGTCGATCGATCGCGATTACGTTTGTGAAAGTAAGCATCACCTACATGCTTTATTTCGAACGCAATCCTAACTAAGCTAACTACGCTAACCTTGGTCAGTCAGCATGTATTCTGTGGTGACTTTCGTTGGGGTGTCGAGACGTATCATGCACATGGGTTGCCAAACAAACGTTCCGACAAAGGTGATCTTGGTTGGAACTGTTAAGTGTGGCAACTAGTGTGAATTGGCAACACTCAATTTAAAAAAAATAAATAAATAAAAGTAGTGCTAATAAAACAAATATGGAGGACGTTTTGTAATAAGCAGTTTAATTAATAAAGGTTATATAGAACACATAAAAGCATATGTTTATTCTCTCTCTTCCTCTGTGCCTGCCAAACCACGACAGGAACTAGATCCAAGCGGTAGTGTTGCCATACCCGAGAGAACAAAAACAAAACAAAATCATGTGTGCCTGTACATGTACCATAATAAATAAAATAAACTTACAATTAAAATAAATTAGAAAGTTAGAATATTATAAGAAAAACGAAACGATGTCATTTTTATTAATTTTTGACAATCACTTACTTTTATTACGTCGTAAAGAAAATATAAAGGAATAACATAGACGTTATCCTAAAATCGCTAGTGACATCTAGTTTGCTTTCAAGAACTAATTTTTATTTTTAAATACTACTCTTTCGCAGGTACTGGAACAGCTACACTTTGATCTTAGCTATGGCTGACAAGTGATTGATTATATACTGGAACAGGTTTCTAGATCTCAGAACCACCCAGAACAAGTTAACTGTCAGTTCAGTACGTCAGTGACAGTGAGTATTTGGTCTGTGTGTCTCCCTTCGCTTTGGTTGGGTGCGCTTGTTTCTTGCATTTTGTCAAGAATAAATTAGGATTTTTTTTAATTACTATTTTTTCAAATTTCGTCTAAATCTTCTTGTATGGCTTTACTAAGCGGTGTTAAGTGATGTCCTTTGAAGGATGGTGATCAATGCAGCTGTACTCTGAATATGGCTGAAGAAAGACTAGTGGTTCTGAATCGTAGTGACAATTTAGGATTTGGTTTCTCCTTGCTTGGTGAAGCCGGTTTGCCACACATCATTTACGAAATTGAAGAAAATTCGCCAGCAGCTCGTAGTGGAGAGGTACGTTACACTATTACTTTTAGGTAGCAACTAGATATTGATTTGAACAAATAGGGTATCTACCTTCTTTTCTTAATTAGAATACATTTGCATCGTGATTCATCTTTCTATTTTTCGTAGGTAAACTACTTTCTGTTTTTTTTCTACAGTAAATTAACCCAAGACACAAGTTAAAAGTCCTAATAATTTGTGGTCTGAAATACTTTCTCATTGTAAAAATCACTTGAAATTTACGATAGTTTATTTTATTGCATTAATATTATATCCACTAAATTTATCTTTAAAATCCTTAAGGATTTGTGGTCTACATGTAACCCCATGTAATACATGATTTTTATCACCAATTTGGTAGCAACATGTATTATTTGTACATAAAACTGGTTTTATTACTATAATAAAAGCTTGTATCAAATAAATACATTTCATATATATTGCAGAAAGATATGTAAAAAAATATTGTAATATGATACAACTTAAATCAAATCAGATTACCACAAATGGTCATTATTTTAAAATCAATTTAAGACCTTTATCTGTTATTATCTAAGTTGTAAATTGACTGAAGACTTTTGTATTACATTTACTAAATATGCCCCTGTGTCTACCAAATAGAAGTTGTAGTATATAAAATAATGTTAAATTAGCTTAAAATTATATTTTAAATCCTTTACCTTGAATAAAAAATTCAAGTTTATTATGAAATTCTGCTGCTGTTTTCCTGCAGTTTCACCTAAATAATTATAGTCTATCGGCCAGTTGTACAAACATTTGTTAAAATTTTCATTAGTTTAAAGCAACATTGTATGGGTATACAAATTTGACATTAATTAGAGCTTAAAGGCTTTATCAAACCATAAAGGATGTTTGAGCAACTGGCTGTGAGTCACCTAAGTATAATTTTGCTTTCTACAAGTGAAGGAATTTGAAAACCCAAACAAGTAGTTAAAGAGAGTTTATAATATTTATGTAGATTAAGTGTTAATTGTCATTTCTATAAAACTTATTGAATAATTATACCTATTTACATGGATTTACTTATTAAAAGTAATTTAAAATGTTGACAGCCCTAGTTGCTTCAATTGATGGAGTTTACCTTTCCATCTGTTGTTGTTTACCATGAATCTGAATACTTAATGTCAAGGAAGAATTGCATTCATTATTTGTTTTGTTTGAGTACTTCTAAAGTAACATCTTAAATGTTTATATTCATAGAAGATTTTGAGATTTAAGATGAAATTCAGCACACTCCATGTACTTTTGGATATTCAGACATATTTCATTACACTTGTTACAAGCAAAAAAAATCTTGTGTTAAGAATCCCCCTGTCCCCCTGCTGGATTTGTTTGTTTACCTCAATTCATAACAATTGAAATACTATTAAATTTTAAATGGACTGTTGAAAAGGTACTTCAAAAAAGCAATAATTTTTGTTATTGATAAAAAATGTTGCTTGGCTCAATTACCCTGATTGTGAACATTATTACTATAAAATTAAAAATTGTAAGATTTGATTACCTCTATGACTGAGCGATCCACACACTTGTTTCAAGGTGTCTGGTCAATATAGACCATGAACTTGACTATATTAACTCCATGTTCTATTATCTTAGTTGTTTCAGATTTCCATAATACAAAAGCTTTATTTACTTGATTAAGATTCCCAGCCATTTATGTTACAATGTCAATTATTTATTTAATTATTGTATAATATATTGTGGTATCTAAGTACAGAAAATTTGAGCCATTTGGTATAAATTCAACTATTCTATTCTCAATGTAATAAGTTTAAATGCAAGTGGAGAAATTTGACAGTTTAGATTAAATTAACCTACAAAAAGCTTATCAAAATTTTGAACATCACTTGAAATTTCATTTATTAAAGTAGTTTCTCTTATTAAGATGATAGTGTTTATGCTAATAGTTGTAGGCATTAAATCCTAAAGAATAATTTATTTATTCTTATAAATCATGAGGATCATGACCATCAATACTATACAGTTCAATGTCATAACAATGTATCTGTGCTCATGTGTCTGTAAACTACAGCTTATTAATAGTTACATTTTATTATGGTAATATAGTTAGTAAAATCATTATTCTGATGAAGATAACTACTCTACCGACGCCTTATTGCAATGACGCAGCGGGCGTCCTGATAAGTGTAGAATTTATTTAGCTACAAATTCTGTCAAGGCTATATAAAGTGACGCGTCTTGCCAACCATAAAAGTACCTATCGTTCAGTTAATGATTATATACCTACATATTCCTAACATAATAAATGGTCGGATTTAAGTGTAAAATAATTAAATATTACTTTATACTTAGAAGTAAAGAAGTTTATATTGGGAATGACTGGAGTTTCGAATTGAAAATACAACATTGTTACTTAAGTCTAAAGTACCTTTGAATTGTGACAAAATGATACGGCCTTATTTAATATACGCTGCAAAAAGCGCATACTTCGACACTCAAAAGAATCAAAATTGGCAGGATCTTTCCATTGACCTACTTTGAAATTTGGTCAGTAGCATTGTTCTAATTGGATAATATTGAAACTACATTTGTTATTAAATTGTAAAAAATATAGTCTTATAGTAGGTCAAAATTCAAAATTAAAACTACTAGTTTAAATGATGAGCCATATTTTGTTTTTTTTTTATGCATACATTCCTATTTATAATGAAATAAATAAAAAATATTTGTACGGAAACCCTAGGGGCGCGAATCCGTAAGGACACATCTATGTAACCTAATTTGGGTACCTACTTGTAGCAGATGATAGAAAAATTAAAAGTAGGGATTGTTGACATTACTCTGCTCTTGGACATTCAGTATGATGCATACCTACATACAATGGAATAGAAGCCAATACATAACTTTGTAGACATAAAAAAATGCATAAAGTCTCAACAATTATGGTAACTGTAGGTTTAACGGATACTATTGATACAAAAGAAATGTTATCGTTCCATTTTAAAAACCTAGAAATAGAACACAAATTTTATAATAGAAAAATTTTCAATGTCGTATTTGTCGGATAGTAAATTTACAATTGACACAAGATTGAACGTTTACATTATGGCAGCTATTCAAATCGTGAATACCCACATTGAGTTTGTACAATAATAGCTACAATGATGACAATCGACGGAACCGATTCTACTTGTACGATTTTGTAAGATATTTTAGTACCAGTTATTAGAAGTCTTATATTGTTCAGATAAAACCTAGGGTTCTAAACGTTATTGTAATCTTAGAGAACGAACTGTGAGTTAAACTTTCCTCGACAGCAAAAATACAATACGTTGATAAGTAACTCACAAATAAAGATATAGTTTTAATCAAGCCAGTGCCAGCAACTAAAGCCTCCATAGCCAGCGATCATGGACCTTTCTCACGTAGCAAAAATGCAAAAGAACCTGTGATGAATTTCGAACACTACGAGTTTTGGTAATCAATTGAAAATTATAGAAAAGCTGTGAAATATTTGTTTAGTTCATTATAATATTATTACTCATTATTAGCAGAATTTCCTATATTTATTTGCTATTGCGTGTGCAATATAAATCCATATTAGTCTGCGAGATGCCTACGTCACTCGAACCCTCCACACTGTCTACTTGTAAATAATTTGAACGTGCCCGAGCCTGTGTACATGAAGCTATACATCGAGTATATTTTTTTCTATCTTAAATGTGGATTCTATTTACTACTTTATGGAAAATAATTACATATGCGACCATATGAACTATGCAACAGACTAAATCAAGCCACCAGCTCCTAGAATACAAGATTTGTTTTCATAGTATACCTGCGTGGACCCGCGCTAGGGAAGCGGAGTTTGTAATAATGCATTTTCCATCAATGTTTAAAACTTAACGTCCTATTAAAGTTCTACTCGTGGGGAAATGGCCCACTAAAAACCATACCGTTGGTTAGGAGCGCAGCCACACCCGGGAACTAATAAAGTACTAGTAGAACCAGGGTAACTATATCCAGTCTTGAGGGTACCGTCCTTAGTCCCTACCACGAAGGTGGCAACGGTTCAGAGTATGATTAAGTCTTTCCCACTCGAGTCCAGCCGTGACCAGATGTTATAAAAGGTCAACTTATCTGTATTGATAAGATTACAGGAGATATGTTGGTATTTGTTTCCGTTTTTAATATTTATGAATAATTTGAAACGACTGCGCAATTCCAATAAATGGTTTCTACTATGAAATCAAGTTCGCTGTTTAGTACTAGGCGTGAACAGAGCACAAAACTACATCTAAACTTCAATTAAACTAATAACCGGCTAGACAGTATCTTTGTGACCATCAAATTAAACGCAATTATGTAAACGACCACTATAATCGATCTATACAACGACTCCAGCGATGCACGCATGCTAAAGATGTCATCACATACATGAATTTATGATAAGACGATACTGATGCATTTTAAAGTATAAAGAAGTCTAAATTGTTAAAAGCACGTCATATCAAAATTCCTCTACATTTCTACACTATTTTGCTGTTGTTGCCTGAAATGTTAAGCAGCTGAATACCGAGCTCTATGGCTGTATGTTATGTAATAGTTTTATTTAATGTAACGCACATTCGGTTTTATTACCGTATATAGCATTATCTTTGGCTTATACGTGCTCTATTGGATTTTGCGATCATAACACCTGTGTTATGTACTAGGTTTTTGTGGGCACTTGAGGTCCGTTCAGCTCTCAGTTTTCCATTAACTTATTAATTCCTTCAGTCATGCGTACACACTGCACAGTTATCTCGTGAGTAATAATGTTTACTTACATTCATGACAATGATTTATTATTCAATTCACACGGTTGATTCACTATCGACAGGTGATAATACGATAACAGTGTTATGTGAAAAGTGCTAAATGAGTATAATTATTGAATACACTTAATTGCCACTAGAGAACTCGCATTTGCGCTTTACGAAAATCAACAATTTTTCTTTTTACATAACCATGGAAAGCCTTATCAAAGTATCAAGTTAATGAGAAAAAGATAATCTTCATTTACTATTGAATTGAAAAGCTGTTAGGAACTTCCTATGTTTCCTAAGATGACTTGACAAAGAATTGTAATTTTTGTTGGTGAAAGTTAAATATTTGTTAAGCAACAAGAAAAACGATAAATATTTGTATAAAAAATATAATACTATAACATAAATAAGTCGCATTTTCAGTTTATTATCAATCACGCAACAAAAATATTTGATTGGAAATCTTTTTCCGTTAAGAACGAATTACGGAAACTTAATTTTACGACGCGATTGATTTCCTGTGACTTGTTCTACTCCACAACGGATTTTACTCATTTAATAGAAACATAACAACCCCTTGATGACGTTTACTTCCTTTTCAATTTGTAAAGGAAAGGGCGGTCAAAAAACAAATACCTAAAGTAATTTTAGCAAATATGGTTGTATTTTGGTTGGTTTTTTAACGCCGTGATAGTTTATAAACTAATTAATGATAAGTAAAAAAAAAATTATGTCTATCAATGTTGTAAACATCTGGTCCGCTGAAAGTGATTTTTGTTATATGAGATAGTTTTGATACCTGGGAAAGTATACAGGCGACACCTTTTCTTAAATCGGAGATTCCTTTTTTCTAACTCAAAGTATAATAACCAAAACAAAGTAACGTGATGCTACAAAGATCAAAACCCGACCGATTTTAAATATATTTTCAACTACTAGAAACTACAACATACACAGGTGACATCTATAAATAGCGCAGGTGAAGTCGCAGGAGATCAGTTTGTTTTGGTTATAAGAAAAGAGGGTGTCACCGTTCCGACTAACGTGACACCAGGCAAGATTTCTCCGGAATCCCCCAAATATTGATAACAGAGTCCACATGGATGAATTCACTGGTAAAAGCTAGTAAGTAAGTAAGTATTTTTAATGATCATCACATTATTCATCCATGCGTTGCTTGAGAAGTAATTAAGAAATATTACTGCTGTGTCATATTACCAGCACAACAATCATAACAGTTGCGTGTATCTAAAAATATAGGGAAAGCAAGTGAAGGCAAATCCAAGGCAAAATACTTAAAAATACTTTGGCTGTAGAACGTTCAACCTTTTATTTTTTATTAAAAAATACATACCTATTGGTCGAATGTAGTATCTCCTGCTTTCGCTTTTGAAGTCTGTTATCAACACTAAATCCTTTAAAAAAATACGGCGATACTAACCAATCGCTATTATAATTCTTACCGTTGGAATTAAAATACCTATAAAGCTCGCAATTCTGAAAAAATGTAGCCTAAATAATTAAACAGAGTTGAAGTAAACCGGTGGTACAGAAATTCGCATGCGATTCCGTCTCGCAGTTGACCAACTTTTAAATTCTATTTATAGTGCAATAGTATTGTTTGTTACTCACTTTAATATTAAAGTAATTACTATTTCACGTGAATCTTTTCCGTCCGAATTGGATTATTAGTCGGATCAATGTTACAAGGCGGTACCTATTGATTTGAATCTTGATAGTTGTTGCCGAGTAAATCGTATCCCATGTAAAATCGGGTTAACAAAAGGACAACAAAAACACCTTGTGTTTATTTAATTCTAATTCAAACTATGTTCATAATACTGGGTATTACATGAGGTCTTACATATTTAAAATATTGTTCTCCAGAATTTGCTAATTGTAATTCAGCGTGCAAATATTTATATTATGTGTAGTTACAATGTCAACACCTATAATCACATTGAGAATGTCAATTTAAATTATATAATAATCGAAGAATTTACCACTTGCTACATGTCATATTTTGAAAGTAAAATCAATTATATATTTATTGTAATCTACACGTAATTATTTCTGAATTATAATCAATACTAAATATCTTAATAAATTAATAATATATGTCACAATTGAAATAATATGTCATTTGCGCGTAAAAAAACATTATTGTATAAAATGTACTGTCAATTAGTCATGCATTTAGTTTGATTTTAAAAATAGATCCAGTCAGTGATCGTATCTCATCAGGCAGTGCATTAAATATTTTTACAGCCATGACAGCTTTATGATTTGCAATAACGAAGAAATTTCAAACGCGTGAGTTATGTAGGAGAGAGGTAACATTATTTGGGTGTGTTGTAGGCGGAGGCTTAGCAGTATAACTGCTTTTATTCATACAAGCTTCAATGTCTCCGATAGTTTATGTCTTTGATATTGTACTATATAATTAAGTAAGAATAGTGATTGTACTATATTAGGGAGTCGTGGGCGTAACGTCCGCGCCGCAGAGTGCTAACTTATCGCACATCAGAACAATAGGTACGCAGTAATCGATACGCACTTAGCAAAGTGAAAGCAATACGCTTTTCGTATTGTTAATAGAAATTATTTCGCGACCGTTACAATTGAAAAGTATCAAAATAAATTTAATTTGATTGAGTCATACACGCGTTGTTGGTAGGTACATTAGCTTTTTTTTCGAAACTGGCACAATTTAAGTGTTTGTTTTTTTGTTAACCTGCTTTTAGTCGCTGTTCAGTGACCGACAAAATTATAAGGGTTTCGAATAATTTGGCTGGCCTACATCATCATTTTTTTTTTCAAATAGTTTTTATTGATACCACCTATTTTTTTTTAAGTTTCTGAGATATTGCTTCCAAGTTTATTGAAACCTCACTAACATACCGTTGACGTCTTATCGTACCTAATATCAGAACGGTGACTTTTTTTTTATTGTTATTTTTACTTCAAATAAGTTTTTAAGAAATGTGTACTTTAAAATATAAGAATCTAAAACAGCAAGATTTCTCAATAAAATAATAAATACATTATCTTACCTACTAATATTGCTATGCGAAATTTTGATATGACGATAGATTTTGATATTCTGCCAAATATTCAGCACATTAATAGGTTAATGTTTATCTTGTTAATAAAGCACATTGAGTTGTTTTAATCCACTAAACCATGAAACTATGAATACGAACAATTTTACATAATGCCAAGTTACAGTGTGGAAATAAATTTTATTCGGCATAAACAGCAATTCCAAATAAGGTTGATATGCCACCATCACGTCAGATTAACTGAACGATGGTCTCTATCCACTACCAATATTTAACTTACCAATATTGGACTTATAGTTTAAGTACCTACCTACTGCAAATTTCCCGCTAAAGATATCGTTTTACTAAGAACAATGAACTTATCCTATTTTATTATTAACAAAAAAAAATTAACATTAAAGAGGTTTAATAAGAGATTGGAAATTAAAAAAGTTTTGTACAATTTTTTTTATAATAATTCAAAGTGAAATAGTCCTGCAAACTAATACTACGCAGATAAACCAGCCACTATCATCTAATTCATATTTCCGCTGCGCCCTTCTGTCACGGTCTGATCTAATTTATCTTCTAAGCTCATTCCATTAGCGGTCCCTCTTATGATAAGGACGAGTTGACATCGGGGCCTCCGTCCGTGGTGGACGCCCCTCGGTATCGCGTATCGCTTAGTACGTGCGCGCCACTAAACAATAAATAAACAGCTGTCATAACTGTCAATGAACACTACTACTATAAAATTTGTTCGTTCACAAGCTATACAGTGTAATTAACGAAAGTTGAAACACGTGTTGAATTCCCACGATGTTATGCGTCTACGTGCACGTATGTACAGTACATAGTTGCGAGATTGTCCTCCACAGTTCGTTACACATTGTAGTGACGATGCGGTACCGAGTTCGGTAGTGTCCTTTGAATAAAACCAGTTATGATTAATAATGTGTGCTCCAATGAATCGCGAACGTTATTTTAAAGGATGTGCCCGATACTGATTAATCACTGCGTGTAACAGCCACTACATATAAACATTTAACGCCAGTGCTATTATACCGCAACACGTACTCTTTGTGTTTTAATTTTTTGGCAGCATTGTGGTCACGTGTACAGCTTAGATTTCGAACCGAGTTAAATATTGACGCGCGTGTCCCTTTAGAGATTTTCATTTAACAGTGTGTCTGCAGTCGGCGCCAGGTACCAGAATTCGTCACTCCAAGAAATTACCCACTTTTAATATTATTTTATTTATTCTAGCATTTTCTATATAACATAACAAATGTTTATTTTTGTCATTTATCTTTACATTGATATTATATTCTTACACATTTTAATTTACATAATAATTAATTAATTATCGATTTATTTATAATTCTCATATCACGCTGTTTACGTCGTCAGACAGAATCTTTATTTATCATGGCTACATAATTTCTCTCCAACCATTATGATAAACGAACGCATGTGTTCTATTACAGGTGGAGGCGGGAGACGTATTGCTCAAGGTCAATGGGACTGATGTAAACCGGTTCACTACCCGAGAAGGTGAGGAATCCGCACTTTATCACAGGCTCGCCACTTACCCACCATTCTCTTTGCTTGGCGCATAATGTACGCAAACTTTATTCAAAACTAACATTCCCTTACTGATTTACTGAACAGCCACTGTGACTAGGCCATAAAGCTAGTTAGTGCAGGTCACCATTCTAAGTCATTATAATATAACGGAGGCAACAGAAGCGTGAAAGACGTGAAACAATACTGTTTGAACTCATTTTACGATCTCGATTTGATAATGTTTACGTCATAGATTTTCAGGCATATATGTAAGTGTTTTACGTCCAATTTATCGAAGTTTCAGAGTGACCAATGTCTGTGACGTTATTAGCACTAATTCAATGATCGCGTTACGACCGCGTTGCGCCCGGCACGCAACTTTGCAATTCACATTTCACACGTTTTCTAGAGGCCTGTTACAGCCTCGAAATAACTTAATAACCTCTTTAACAAAGCCGATGTCTAAATTGATTTCCAACGACAACCAGCAATCGAGATGTTATCAGAACATAAAATTGTACTCGAAGTTCACTATTGTTCGACTCGTATGATGTTTATTTCAATAGCTTTAATTAAATCTTTCGATAACGTAGTTCGAAAACATAAATACCCGATGTTTGTTCAAATTATGATGTCATTTATATTGGTTGTTGCAGTTTTAAAATGCTTACGACTCTCGGCGGATCCCGTCACTCTAAGACTGAAAAAGGGTGAGTGTCCTATTTTAAACTAGAGTGTGGCACGCAGTTGTGTCATAAGTTTGTTTGAACTATGACATTCGGGAGACGGCAGCAATGTACGCTAGCGGTGGCGGCTGCAACTAATAAAATTACTTTATCCCCGAGTGATTCGGGACGAATTCACGTGGTAAGCCTCCACAAATAAGAGTTGCAATAGACGTAGTAATTTCATAGGTGGCTCCCGGGATCCGGGCCGAATAAACCCCGCTCACAGTGGCTTTGTTCCTTTAATAATCTAATCTCGCCGCACCTCGAGGAAAATGAGCCGGTCTTGTTTCTCGTAGTTTCTTTGTTCGATCCGTTTGTTTATTGTTGATATTGATAAGGTACGATAACGGAGTCATGTCTCAGACCCTCAGATCAAAGCGAGCGTGAGGCGGTACCTATCGGCGGCATCGGAACGTCGCTCTAGCGGCCCTCGTATCAACCACGACAAGTAAGTCTCTCACTGTTTTATTATGTTTCGCAAGAATTTACTTTGCTTCTTTAATTAATTAATAATTTAATTTTAAACAATCACTTGTTTTATTGACCCAAAAATAAAATAAAGATTTCACATGCCAAGCAAAACAATAACAGGATAAATTAATTTCACATTGAATCAAAATTGTTTTAACGCATCCACCCCGTTTTGGTGTCAAATTTAAATTTAACCCTATGGCGACGGGGGTGTAATAGGAAGGGGTCTCAGCTTGACAGCTGATTTCCGACAACGATAACAGATTAAGGGACCATATGTGCTCTATCGAGGCCGCCGTCGCCCCTACCGCCCCGTCTGATTCACTTCGAACACGCGACGCTAATATCTGACAATCAGCTGCTACGCTGCTGGTCGAACACCGAGGAATCAGTACCGCACATATACAGGAATTTGTGGTCAGAGCACAATTATTGCGTTGGTTATAGTAAATCATATTTATGTGTTATTATTATTTTTTCGACCTGAAACATCGAACATAAATACTATAACCGGAGGTCGATGACCGTTGTATATCAATATACCTACACCACTAATAAAATAACATGAATTATTATTCTTTTATAATAATATGAATTTTAAAAATATATATTAAAATGTAAATATTTTCTATTATATGGAATAATAACGAAAAATTATGAACGACGATTATCGCATATTTTGTTAAATAACTTCAAAAGTGTTTATGTTAAACTTATTGGACAAAAAACCGTATTTCATATTTATCATAACACAAGCTATGATATGTACAACTTTATTCTTTTAATTTTGTAACTTTTTAATTTTTACGGTAAACGACCGTTTTTGACTTATAAGATTTCTCGATGTGTTTAATAGTTTCGAAACAAATTAATTTAATAAATATCAAAGAGACAAGCGAATCGTCCTTTATAGGTTCCATGTTGCCCTTAGCCTTAATACAGCCTTAACACTTGACGTCAAAATTCAACTACATGTTTAACCAAATATACCCATTATGAGGTAGAAAGCATGCTTGTGAATTTTCTATAAAAAACATTAATTATATTTTTTTATGAGTTTCAAAATGTTGGTATCCACATAAAATGACGATAAAAATAGTAAGTATGTAAAATGACTGTAAATAGATGATTTAGAAATGGCATAAGCTACAATATCTCTTATCACCGACATGTGTTTGGATTAAGCAGATAGATTATAACTCCACAAAAATGCTTTGGAATGTTTTATCTGTAGATTGTAAAATCATAAAGCATGAGGCCATTCATTTGACATCCAACTGTGTACCACAACTAGCTACAGTAAGTCGGGTGTAGACAATAAACGAAAATATTTATTTTTCTGATAGTTTTTATTATTACCGATAATCACACTTTTATGCTTATTATTTTACAATATTGCTTAAATTAAGTTTGAAAATACAAATATTTTACACACATTGTCACGTGATCGCAAACAGCGAGTGACGTCACGCCCTTCTTACTCATTTCAGAACGTCAAAGAATCGCGCAAAATTTTCAGAACGCGTTCAGGTCGAAAAGCGTGTCCGCCACGTCACGAATGTCGCTATATAGTTATTCTGCGATGGCCACAAAGAGTTATGAACTATTCGATTTTTGAGGGTAACCATATTTAGTTACAGAGAGCCGTGACGTCATAGCGACGCCATGCCATTTTTGCATTACCTCGGAAAATTTTGGAAATTAAATTTATTTTTAGATTTTAAGTTGTTATATGAATGATGCCTGTTTTAAATATATTTTATGTATATTTGTAAATTAAAAATATTACAAAAAGTTAACAACAATAATATACCAAGTATTGAGCCCTGCGGAACACCCACCTTAACTTTCGATCCAGGGAATCTTTTGCCATTGATATCAATCCTCTCGCAGTCAAAAATAAAACCCAATGAGTTTTCTCTTAATCTTTAATAATGAAGTTTCCTTATCAATGTTTCATGAAATACAATGAAATGCCTTAGATAGGTCAAAAAATCTTACTAAATGTAGATAACACGGATATAGGTCTCACATTATTTAAATACAAAAATTGCTTATGTAAAGTTATTAATAAGAAATATTTGTGGCTTTAGACATATACTCATTTTAATGAAGGTGATTTTAGCCCATTTTGATTTGTGGCCCTTAAAAATTTTCAAATAAAGAAAGAACCTTCATTACATTATGAAAGTAGATTTGAATTTCTATATTGTGACAGCGTTACGCTCAACATCGAGTTCAATTGTTGTATAACAGAATAGCACCGCAATATTAGCTATGCATTACATATTCTTGTTATTTTTAGAGAAAGCGTACTGAAAAAGTAAAAACGGAAATCTTATAGAAGCTGTTTATTTATCTGTCCATTAATCTGTCTGTCGCAGTTAATTTGCACCGGAACTTCTGGACTGATTTGAAAATTGGTACATATTGTATGAGTCAATCACCCAAAGACAAACGTGTAATGTAAATAAATAATAGTAAATAATCTTTAAGCATTCTATATTATGAACTTACAACCATGAAAATAATCAATATTGCATATCAGTGTAAACAACTCTTCACAATAATTTTCCATTGATATGAAATAAAATAATAAGATAATGTTTTTCTCGTTAAAAAATACAAACATAGATAATGTTATGTTAAAGAACATGAACTTCTCTTTGGCGTCCTAGAGTATATGTTTACACAGTCCAGAACTCATGTTAGAGACTGCCCGAGCAATTAGCAGGAGTTAACCTAGTTTACTTATTTACCCAACATTACTATTGTGTTCATAAAATAAAAACATAATTACCTTATTTAAAACTGTCAATTTCTTTATATATCAGTCCGAGGTCACCTTTGTCAAGTAACTCTACGAGTAACTCGTCAAGCAACTCATCGAGCAACGGGTCTGGTGGCCGGTCAGGCGACAGCTGCGAGGCGCTCCTGGAGAGCGGACGGCGGTCTCAGCCCAAGTTCGAGGCATACATGATGACTGGCGACCTCATGCTCAACTTATCGCGCGTCGAACATCCCCACCACAATCTACGCGCGCCCGCTCACAGAACACACTATCATAGGTAAAGTTATACTCATATCGAATTGGCGTACATAATCGAACAAAAACTCCAAGAACATAATTATAGACATATGAACATGTAGTTGCGTTTAACATTAGACACAAACTGTCATAATTAATTTTAAACTTTAAAATCGCAACGGTTTAAAATCTGTTGATGGTTAAGCTGACGTTTGACTGCTTATTTGGTTATTGATTTTCGATAATAAGAAAAGCCGGTACTTATGTATGGTACTCGCTGGATTATTTAAGAATGACATTTATTCTGTCATTGCGAGGTGATGTGTGTAACATAGAATATAAGAAGAAATTACTTCTTTGGTTCAGATACAATTCGACGCCCGCATCGCCAAGTGAAACGCGGCAGTGCGGGCGCGCTGATCTCACGCAACGACACAACTCCTCACCAGACACCGGCCTCGGAGACCATGCCACTAAAATGTAAATATTATCTAACTAATAAACGAAATATTACACTGACATTCTAGGTATTTGACGAATCTAAAATAAACGAAGCCAATGAGGACTTCCAGGATAATCCCAATTCAACCAATACATAATTATGATAAATGTTTAGTTACAACAAAAATCATATTTTCCAGTGTCTCGTGTTTTCAAAGGTTTTCTACACTAACTGTACTCGTCCTAGCTCTTGTTTTAAATCAGTATGTTTTTTGAGACAAGCGAAAACTGCAAAGAAAAAAAAATTGTTTCTAATCTCGCAAGTTTTAAACAAACACGTCTTTATAACGTTTCGTTAAGGTTCATATCCCAGCCGGCGTCGCCAGCGGGCGGAGCGGTGAGTGCGGGCGCGGGTGCGGAGTTAGCGGCGCGGCCGGCGCACGCGGTCCGCACATCACGTTCCGAGGACCATTTACAGGTGGGTATAACGTTACACAAATCAACGGCGATTATTTGTAAGGCTAGAGAGTTTAGGTCCATATAACCAGATTTTTAGTGCTATATTAATATTTGTTTTGAAATCTGTAAATATTCATTGTAGATTTTTTTCACACTAAATATTGATTGTATTTGATCAATTTTGCATTCACAATGCTATATGGAAAAATATACTTAATGAAAATTGCTGAAAAATCCACTTTGTCCCTGGCACTCTGAGATGGGACTCGAAACCATGAACTTTCTGTAGTAGCGAAAAAGTTACAAATGTTTGAAAAAATCAACAGGTTAAAGCAGTCCTGGAATGCGATAGGTCATGGGTTCGAATCCCATCTCAGAGTACTAGAGACAAAGCTAACTTTTTAATCATTTTTCATTAAGAAATAAATAAATCTCTGCCAAAATTTGAACGATACTACACGAATCTGTACATATGTAAAAGAAATATTACGATCTCAAAAAAAAAAACAGTCGCTCATTGTACCATATACATATCGGCTATTTATTTATATTCGTTGTAAATATATTGCTTGCCTTATACCAAGTGCAAATATCATATGCCCGTGTCGCAGAAGGAATCCTCACTGAGCGCGGTGGGTGTAGAGTTAGAGGAGGACGTGACTGCATCACTCAATACACTCCTCGACGCCAGACCTGACTCCGCCACGCCCGCGCCACGCTCAGACAGCGAACGAGACAGGTACTATTATGTTACTCTTTAATTTAACATCACTCTCTCTCTATTTCACGCCTTCACTCAACACACTCTCCAATGCAATACCTTACTCTACCATGCCAGCACCACATACAGACAGTAAGCAAGACATTTATTCTATCACTGGACATATATCTCTCCCTCCCGCTCTCTGTCACGACGTCATACCAACACACTTTTTACGCTAGACCTATCTCCTCCAAGCTCGCACCACATTCAGACAACAAACGAGACAGGTATTTTATCACTGAACGTCTATCTCTATTACAATGTAGAAACTCATTTGAAAAGAGTAGATAGAGTTTTATTTTTCTTTGGTTTTGTTTGTGTTTTTTCCTATGTCTGTCCAAAATAAATAATTTCTCCTGAATGCCACCAAAGTTTTTTTACTATTTTCTGCTTAAATAGTTACAATCAATCTCTGAGTTTTAACACACGGCGTCATTAATTAATTCAATACACTATTCGAGGCCAGACCTAACTCCACCACGCACCACATTAGGACAGCAAGCAAGGTAATTGTATCACTACACAATAATCTCCCATTCCCGCACTCCCCCTCACCCTCGTTCTCACTCTGTCATGTCCATCAACATAATCCTTTTTCGCCAAACCTGAGTCCGTCACTCCCGCATCACGATTCACGGTCAGGCTGCGAGTGCTCCAGGTTTAGTTTTACAAAGATTCTTGTAGTTATTACACATTCTTTTTGTATGTCCACACGAGCGGAAGTGTTTGCTTTTTGCACTTTGCACACATTAAATAGTGACTCATGCTCAATTTGCAACGAATGTAATTTTTCTGTCGAAGCATAAGGAACTACTTAGTTCTTAGGACAGATAACACGATACTAGGAAATAAACAAAATAAACTTCTTTCCATATTAATATAATAGTAATAAATTTAAACTGTTTTATAACATTAAAACTTTTAATTTAGGCATATCTGTAAATTAAATGTAATTATCTAATTTACTTAATGACGAATTTATCGAAAAATATGATTGGAACGACGGAACAGTGTTTCCAAAATTATTAATTAATTTTATTATATGAAAGTATAAATACTTGAAATTTGAGATTGAACTTGCTAAAAAAGGGAGAATTTTACTGGTGATTGTAATAAAATTATGATTGAAAACTTATTATATCAGGGAGAACTTGATGAACTGAACAGTCAGGCAAAAGTAATTGAATAGACAGATATAGAATAAATTGATCCATGGCCACGGCAGTGGGCCGCCAGAGCCGAGCCGAAGGCCTTGTAATTAAAAGAAATTAATATTAATGTGGAAAGTAATAAAAATATAGTTCTTTAACATTAGTTGACCAACAGAATAGCTTGAGATAGTACCAATAATTTCCTAGTACAGTCGACTACACGTTACGTTACTGGGTAGTGCCAAATTTCTTCAATCAAATTGAAAACTTAATCTGTTGATAAACTTAAGTTCTAAATTGATTGTGTAGATTTGGCGTTTTCTAGTAACGTAATGTGCTGATGTGTGTACGGTGTTGGCATCGTGTTACAGAATCGTGTGGACATACAACGCGCCCGTTTCGTGCGCGTCGGAGCGGACGCAGTGCAACGGCTCCGAGGCCACCTCCAATTCCACATCCATATCCGACGGCATGTCACAACGGTATCACTTTAATGCCTCTCAATATACCATATACTATCCGTATTTCTAAAAACGTATTTAATAGATGCAGAAATGAACTTGGTTGATTTTTCTATATATATTTTTTTCTTTTTGATATATTTATATTCTAATTTAGTCGAGATTTTAATAAACATAACTCAATAATTTTGTTTTTTCAAATGAGATTTCATTAAACTTTAAAACATTAATATTTAAAAACTACTCTACCTAGAAACTGCAAATTTAGTGCAGGGATTGCTTTCATGATGTAAGTGAGCACTAAGAAAAGGTTTTTTCGAAATTAAAACTCTTAGAAGGCGAAATAAGAGGGCGAAGTTTATACGGTATTTTCTCAAGTAGATAGCAAATAATACAGGACCACAGTAGCGAAATCTCGGGCAGAAATATAGTATGAAGTTTTTTTTTTCTATAATATTTCCATTTACCCGAAAACTGCCAACAATGAACCAATTGAATTCGATTTAAAAAATACGAGACATCAAGAAACTTGCGTTTTGTATTATCAGATCGTCTTCACCAGCGTCGCCCACGTCCGCCTCCTCATCAGTACTGTCACCGCGAGCAACCATGTTACAACACCACAGACCAATCAACGGTAACATGACAACATATTCATATTTTGTTTACAGTATTAAAAAAGGTTGTTTTATATGGGTCTTTTTTAACAGTGACTTATTGTTCCCTAAAAGTAACCATACTTTAAGGGAACAATTTGGTAGATCCAGTGATGAGAACAGGTTACGTAAAATTACTTCTAATTTTTTTTTCCATTGTCATTTGAAAAATATGTCTCGTAATATTTTGCAGAAATTGTAGTGCTATAATTTGGTAACCTCGTGAACATTTCTTTTCATGTGTTAGGAACATTAGTTTTATTTCTTTTTGATGTTTTATCATGAGCAGGCGATATGAGCCTATCGGAAGCTGTATCGAACATCTCCAGTCCGGACTACCAGGATCAGAACGACATGTTCGAGGCGGGACGGGAGTGTCCTCGTATGGAACTATCGGACCCCTCGGATTCTGACTCAACAATACTGGTATCAGAGCCGTGTCACAAACGGGCTAAATCCAACTCGTCATACAACGGCAGCGACCTCACCCTCAACGGAGATCACGGCGACTACAGGATAGTTATACAGGTTAGACGCTTAGAGTCGATTATACTATTTCACCCGGTTGCACAAACTTCCATTAAGGTTTGAAGATGGCTTTGAGCTCTAATTAATATTTTTAAATTGGAGATTTGTACCGGTAATATACCTTTAAACGAATTTTAATGGACTGACGGTTGGTCTACGTAGAATATGTGTCATCTGGAGTGTAAAGTATAATCACCCCAAGAATGATGCCTATCTTTCGCGAAATGTTTTCAGTGATATTGTATATTTGTTTTTTTTTTTTTTACTATGCTATTATGAGGCACAAATGTGTCGTCGAGACCGTTGTGTCCACAACGTAAAATATAGTTGGTTATTGTTATGACGGTGACATTAAACAGAACTCTCCCTACGATAGGTTAATTGTAATGACGTCAAAATATGGTTTAACTAATAATTATCATGATTATAATAATCGAAAACTTGTCTTTAAAGATTTCATGCCTAAAAAGCATCTAACGAAATTCAAGTAAACACAGTTGTATGTGAACATATGTAGCTGTAGATAATTTTTGGTGTATAATATGAGTTTACATTCTATAGCGTAATGAATAGTACTGCTTAGTCTTTCATCATAGTGAATGGTCGACAGTCTGTACTGAATCAATAATATTGTTAAGAATCTTCTTAGTCTTGAACTTTAATTATCTAAAACCAGGCGTATCGGTCGTAGATCTTTTGTTATCGAAACCTTGATTCGAGCCCAATAATTTCTCATTGACAGCATACACAACACGATATACTCTCAAACGACGATTGCTAATTTATTTATACTTAGACAGCACAAAAGCTGACTAGCAGCCGTCAAGTATTTTTAGTCTGTAGAATAATTCCGAAGTGAGAGCTTATAATTTACTTGTGCTGTTAAGATTAATCGTGAATGGAACACAGGTGAAGGGCCCCGACAAACAGAACGCGAACGCTAATGAGACCGTCAACAACAACAACAATAACAACAACAACACTGGCTACGCGCACAACGGCAAGGAGAACGGGCACACCTCGCCGGACAACCAGGCCTATCAGGTTAGTGACCTGATGTTAGTAAAATTAAGTTATTGAAAATAATCAGTTGAGATATTGTACTTTTCTCAATTCAAAATCCGGCCGAGAATCAGTATATAAGGACATTCTGTTTTTAAACTATTCATGGTCGATTTTTTTTAATATTGCATATCCCAGTACTAGATACTTATTTTTAAATCTTGAGTACCTGAGGGGCTTGATTTGTTAACATCTTTTCTACAAGGAACAATTTTTAGATATGCTTATTTTCATACAACAAGTACAACAGTTGGTTAGTGATTAATGTATCTGTTGTTTGATATTTATATATTAAGTCTTATTATTAAATAAGTTAAAACCATTCCATTCAAAGTTCATTTTTTTTATTATAATCCAACACCAATCCCTCAATCCAGCATGCGCAGCGTTTCACGTTAAGAATCCTATTAGTATTTTTAAAATATTTTTGTCCCTCCCTCTCACAGACCTGTTCGGGTCACATAGTATGGGTAAATAAACTGTGTTTAAAAACGTAGTATTATTGTAATATTGATTTCGCTTCTTATATTTGAACTAAAAAAAAACATATTATGAGAATGGACATGTTGATGTCGATAGAAACTACAATGTTCAACCTATACCTGAATAAAATGTGGAGTGGTATGCGAAACAGATGGGCAGTGGTTCGGACGGTGGCTCGGACTCCGGTTCGGACGGGGATTCGCTCCACTCATTCCACTACAGCCCGAAGGCTGTAGATATACCCTCCGCAGAGAGGCTCGCCAAGCGACTATACCACCTCGACGGCTTCAAGAAGTCTGACGTGTCCAGGCATCTCAGCAAAAAGTTTGTATTTGCGTATTATTTTATACAGGGTTAGTTGTAAAATATTAATAAACTCTCAGGACTAAATAGCATAACATCGCTTGTTCTATGACCCTTGATAGTGTGGTAGATTTTGGTTTATACAAAAGTAAAGGAGAATAGGAGACACATTTTGTGCGTAGTCTGGTTGGGCAAAAAATTAAGCCGAAGATTACGATTACCAGCAGCAGAATTAAGTGCTATTATAAAATCAAAAATAAAAAATATTTTTATCCACTTTCAAGTATATTTTGGCGATGAAACATCTCCACTGAATTTGTAAGACTGTATAATATAAATATATATTAGAAATATTCTTGGCCTCGGATAGCCCAAAGTCCATACAATTTTGCCCATTTTCCATTTCTTTTTAATTACCGCTTGATTGTTAATAACTCTTTGCATATCACTAGTATCTGATAGGTTACTGAACAACGTATGGGTGTCCTGTTGCTTGTAAATATGGAAACTATAAATTTCACGTCAGTACAATAAAAAGATGAACAAATATTTTTGTTCTAAGTATTATATAATTGGTTGTACTCCTAGATCAAATGTCAACTACATACGTTTTGTCATTGAACTATTTACCTAAAGTCAAATATTATTAGTGCTACGTCTTCCTCACACTTAAATGGTGACAGATATATTGTATAATAATATTGGACTTCAGGTAGATAGTACAATGAAAAATTGCAAGTAGTTGAGATTCTATTGAGATGCAATTATAATGTATACATTAGCTGAATTGGCCTGCTGGTCCTATACGGTTGCAGGTGTTTTACAAGTAACCCTGTATTTGTAATTTACAATACCTTAATTAAATTATCACCAATGAGTATTCCACGTTTGTTGTCGTCTTACTATACATTCCGCATGTTTTCTTTGCAGCAATGAATTTTCCCGTGCGGTAGCGGAGGAATACGTAAAACACTTCGATTTCAGCAGCGAAACACTCGACTCAGCGTTGAGAACATTCCTCGCGAGATTCGCCCTCAGCGGCGAGACACAAGAAAGGGAGAGAGTACTAGTGCATTTTTCACGACGATATTTGGAATGTAATCCTGGCTCTTTCAATTCACAAGGTAAATCCGATACTAACACTAACAGATTTTCTCGTTAATTAGTTATGATAGGCTAACGTAGTAGGGTCTACCGTATGACTATTCTAGATATCCTGCTTTTATGACCTAACACTTACTTTTTATTTTCTTGTCCCTTGACAAACTTATAACTTAAGTAATTGATGCATACTATGATTTTTCAAACTAAAAAATTGTCGTTGAGCTTATGTAACGAATGTTTTTTTATCAATTCAGACGCAGTTCATACTCTTACGTGCGCCATAATGCTTCTGAACACGGATTTACACGGGGGAGGGAGCGCTTCATTCAGACGGATGGCGTGCGCTGAATTCATAGACAACCTCGCTGATCTTAACGACGGCGAGAACTTCCCGCGGGAAACGCTCAAACTTCTCTACCACGCGATAAGAACGCAACCGCTGCAATGGGCATTGTGAGTGGTTAACTTTATTATTTATCTATACTATAACTTGTTCAAATCAACATTACACTACTCTACTACTCTATTTATACTGCATCGAAAATTCAGAAATTTTCGATTCTTATAATGTTGTTAAAATCATATCTGTGAAGATTAACAAAATAAAATCAGTATCGTTAACCAATAAACACTGATTGGCGAGTACACTTATTGAGTTGGGTTGTGTTAAGATCACACATCATTTTTGTTGGTTTCGATAGTTATTATTAAGTTTTGTTGTTATTTGTTATGGTTTACTAAAGTAGCAACTGCCGTTATGAACTTTACAATAAGAAAATATAATTTCACTAATAGTAAATATATCTAATGTCTCTCATTTCATTAATACTTTTAGTTGTGTTTTAAAGAAATGTCCTTTCTGTTTGTTATCACTTATTACAAATTAACTGTATTTTTTTATTTTTCATACACCTTAATAGTTTCATATTAATTGATTCTTTTCCAATAATTCTTGCAATAAATTAACAAACTAAAAGTTATTAAATTGATATAACAATATTTTGAGGATTACACACAGGGTTCGCAAAAATCTGATATTTATAATAAATATCAAAATATCCGATATTTGATATTTATCTGATATATATCATGCATATAAAGAGCTTTGTTTAATTGATTTTTTAAAACAAGTGTAAAACAAAAATTAATTTTGAGTTAATTAATATTTATTTTACCCTCCAATTCGCATTGGGCCAGCGTGAAGGGTCATGGCCCATCCTCCTTAACCATCCATAAGGAAGGCCTGAGCCCCAGCAGTGGGGACGTAAAAGGGCTGGTGATGATGATGATGAATATTTATTTACATACATATAGACGAGGATTTGTACATTGGGCCAATGTTGCCAGCATCACATCGGGTTGGTAAATTTTCTAGCTGAGACTCAATGCTCAATACTGAAACTGACAAAGAATATCAATTGATTTATATCAATAAATCGATAAATATCCATTGATATTTATAAGCGAATTCTAATTATTCATAAATAAATAATAAATTTTGTATCTCTTGCCTTTTGTGCTATCTATACCTACTTTCTCTATTCATATGACGTAACACGGGTGTTGTTTAGACAAGGTTCCAGCGCATTAGCAATTAACGGGACTTATAGTAGTAAATATTAGTGTAGAAAGGTGAGTGATATATTTGTTGGCACCAGGGACGGTGAAGCGCCGCCCACCGCGTGTGCGGGGGGGGATCGTGGCGGGGCGGGGGGCGCGGGCGGTGTGGTGGGCGCCAACCCCTTCCTCGACGTGCCCGACCAGTCGCGCGCCATCGAGTACAAGAAGGGATACGTCATGCGCAAGTGCTGCGTCGACGCCAATGGAAAGAAGAGTGCGTAGTATTATTTTTAATGTATATATATACAACGTGTAACGTAATTAACGCACATCCTGAAAGGTCAGATACTGATACGATTTCAACAACTTCTAATATAGGTAATGCACTATAGTCTTGGCTTGTAATAAAATAAAAGATAGGAGAAAAAACAAAGAAAAATGAGCTTTATTTTCATGTGTCTTGAGTTTAAAATGCTCTTAAATGCTATGATGCCCAAGTTCATATATCAGAGTAAAATAATTCATAAACAAAAAGAAAAGTAATATACCACAAATAAACATATGTGACAAACATGCCAGTGGATAATTATTTTAGCGCAATATAAGTTTGTCGGTTTTTTTATTTCTCATGCGATCATTCTTTCTTATACTGATGTATACTAATACAAATGATACTAGAAAACGCCACTTCTGTCATGGCGTCGCTATGACGTCACGCACTCTGAATCGAATAGCGCTATTAATCGTATGCAAAAGGTTGAATTTTCGTAAGTTCTGATATGAGTAAGAAGGGCGTGGCGTCATGCGGTCACGTGGCAACAAGCCAATCCTATTAATATTATAAATGTGAAAGTTTTTTTGTTTGGATGTTTGTCGGTCAATCACGCCGAAACTACTGAACAGATTTTGATGAAATTTGGTATACAGATAGGGTATTAGCTGACTTAGGTAATAGGATTTTTTATCCCACTTAACATTTCCCTTGGGTCCACACGGGCGAAGCCGCTGGCGAAAGCTAGTATTATATATATAATAAGCATAAAAATTTGATTATCTACTACCAGAAAAATATAATATGTATTTATTATCGTTAACTGTCTACACCCTTATTGTTTAAATTTTTACATTGAAGTCTTTATTAATGTAGAAGCTTATATACCAATGTACATTTACTAATATAACCCACTCATTACTAACACATCTAACTTTTCAATTTGTGACTAATAATTGTGTAATGTAAATAAAATGGTTGTCACTAAATCAGCTCCGTTCGGTCGTCGCGGATGGAAGATGTTCTACTGCACGCTGAGGGATCTGGTGTTGTATCTACATAAAGACGAGCACGGTTTCCGTCGGAGCCAGATGTCTGATAATCTCCATAACGCTATTAGGTAGTAACCAATATATATTATTTTTAGTTTACAATACAGAGTTGACTCTAAAACATCCGCAACTTCGCAAAACTACACCATATAAACAACAAGCGGACCTACAACTAGTTACTCAATACATACTTACAAGCAAAATTTGTTTTCCAAGTTTTTATTGTACTGTTGTGGCATTTATAGGTCTGTTTTAATCATAAATAAAAGGACGCTAAAGAAAACTACGTTCGTGCGCTGTCTAAATACCTACATATTAGATAATAGATACGCATAAAGTTATTAACATTCGAGCGATAATTTAAATGTATAACGAATTATCAAAAGTAATGGAATAACCGTTGTTATTTATGACGGTAGTCGTACGAGGTTGTTTAGTGTTTTTGAAATAACCCTGTATTAAAGCAATCTTATTGGTAGATATTTACCTAAACTTTTATTGAGACCAGGCTTTTGAATCTAATACTTCCCAAATAATTAATAAAATAATTAGTCATGTATTATCGTTTTCTTTTTACCAGGCCTGTATAATGTCAATCAAAAGTCCGATATAGCGTTACTTATTTTTTTAGGATACATCACGCATTAGTAACAAAGGCTACAGATTATACGAAAAAACAACATGTGTTCAGATTGCAAACAGCGGACCAAGCGGAGTATTTATTTCAAACTAGGTAATATATACATTTGAGAAGTGTTTTAAAATAAAAACATATGCAACTTAGAACCTATTTTAGATGTTTTTTTTTTTTTGTTTATGAAGATACAAAAGAAAAAAATTTAAGAAAAATGAATTTATTGATTCAGTGATTCCAAAGAGCTCTGTTCGTGGGTGGAGACGATAAACTTCGTATGCGCTGCGTACTCGGCGCCACCGTTAGCGGGCGCCGTCGGGTCACAACGCAAGTTTCAACGACCGTTACTGCCGTGCACGCATACCAAACTGTCTATGGTACTGAATGTTAATTTTTATATACTTTATTTTATTGACACAGATGATTGCATCAGATGACGGCTTTCAAAAGCTTGTAACAGCCTAGACTGTATAATTGATTTTTATCATGGTTTGATTGCTTTAAGTGATTTAAATAAGCAATTTAATATAAGTTGGTTCAGTGTACACACAACAATTCATTTCATTTTTTTTTTACATAAAATTTATACATGCTCATTTGTAAAACACCAGTAACTTCACATGACTAAATAGTTTAAACAGTTCCAATTCTTTTTTTTTACATAAAATTTATACAGGCTCCTTTGTAAAACACCAGTAACTTCACAGGACTAAATATTTGAACAAAATCAATATTTTGAACTAAAGAGACGTGTAATGTCGTGACATTTGTAGGCATGTTTTATTCGTAAGGACTGTATGTTCGCGGGTGTCGAAGTACTCTAAATATTTAATATGGGCTAGAGTTATTAACATTAGAATAGTACATTTTATTTCATAAATCTATCCTATTCTGCATCTTCTAAAGTTTTATATTAGACCTTATTAAATATGGTCGAGGTCGTCATTCGAGGCAAGCCGAAAAGACCATCGGAGTGTTGCCGTGATGCTGCTAGCGTTTAGATATCTTCAAGAATTAAGTAATTTATTTAATCAATGTCCTATATCTGTCTTATACATGGTTATATAAAGTCTAAATCAAATATTGAACTTGTAATTATCTTGTAGCGGGAACAACTAGCGGAACACGAAGAAAGGGCCGCGAGGCTGGAAGAGGAATTGGCGGCTTTACGGCACGCGAGAGACAACACACCACACGCGCGTGACAAGGAACACTACCTCGTGTATGAGGTGAGGGGATTTGATTCTGAAAATATCATTAAAATTAATCCATTACATACTTAATGTTATGTCATCATGCGAATATTGATAAAACTACAAAGTCATGTATCCAATGTCAAAATTATTAAATTAGAAGTAACATTGTCACATAAAACTATTATTGAATACAATTATTATACCTACTTGCAAATTGTCATACAAATTAAAATTATTAAATCAGTACAAATATAAAAGTAGATAATGTCAGATTAAAAGAAACAAAAAGTCATACTTTTTAAGACATTACACAATTCTCAGCACATGCATTTGTTACTTATTTTCATGATTTAAATATTCAATAACACTAAAAATCAATATCACACGACCACATAAATAGTGCCTTCTTGAAGCTATTAAATGAATGATAAGAGGGATTTTATTAAAATGCACAATACACATCCAATAATTGTTATTCTGGAATGGCGCGCACCTTGGAATTATGTCAGAAACCAATCTATCACAATTTCTGGAATTGCGTTTACATCTACTTTTTTTGCCTGTTTAAAGTGACACATAATATTTTGTTTTAAGAATTTAACGACTTCCAAATGTATAAACAACGTAAAGTTATTTAAGATTAAAGAGAGGTTTGCAGGGTTCATTGGGCAAAGCAGCATATATCGCCCTAATATATATTTTTTGAGCAACAAAGGCTTTTTAATGTCTGTACCCCATATGATAAGCCCATATTTAAGAACGGATTCTACGTAAGCGAAGTACGTAGTAACCTAGTAGCTATCTTTGATAATTTATAAAGAGGTAATAAAAGTTGGTTAATTTTATTGCAAACTTTTTCTACCTGATTTTTCCAATAGCCTGTATAGTCCAATCCAATAGTTTGATCAATTAGTATACATAAGAATTTTGTTGAATCGGCAGTTGTAATTATCTGTTGTTCATAATTTTTATTTATTATTGGAGGAATGTTATAAAAAATTATCAAATATGTTTTTTCCAAATTAATAACTTAACTTTTATTTGTGAGCCGGTCAACTATAGATATCATTGTTGTTTTAATGTCATTTTTATGATCATCTATCGTAAACCTGCTATCCGTTGTAACAACTACTGACATGAGCGAATAGAACGCATTAAGGTTATTAATGTATATCAGGAACAACAGTGGGCCCAAAACACTGCTTTGGGGAACTCCGAACTTATTTTCCTTGAAATTAGAATTGTGCTACATTAAAGTATCCAATTCAGAATCTTCCACAAATTGGATCCTATTTTCTAAGTAGGTTTTTATCTTTTAAAAACTGCCTATGCTCTAAATTAATTAAAAGTTAATATTATGATGTACAAAATCGAACGCCTTTGTCATATCAATAAAGAGAGTCTTTTTATATTTATTATCATTTACTGATAGCAGGGTCTTAATAATTAAATCAAAAACAGCCAGAGTAGTACATTTTTTTTGTTTTTAAACTGATAATTTGATATTTATTAAAGAAGGATTGCACAAAAACTAAAATTTACATTGTAATAAACATAGACAGTGTTATTACAAAAAAGATAAACACGCGTTGAACACGTGTTTAAAAAAAATTCTATCACAAAATCGTATTTAGGCACTGTTTAAGGCTAAACATCCCTTAAACATTGTTTAAAATATAAACACTCGTTGAGAGTTGTTTAACGCGTGTCTAACCTCAAAATAGGTTGCGCTTTGTTGTAAATTCATCCATATTTTTAAGATAAAGATTATATTGATATGGTCGATTTAGATTACATGGAAAGCTTTTAGGACGCGTAAGTAAAGCGAACGTGAATTAATCCATTTGAGCAATACAATGAACTTTGATATAAAAGAAAGTACATATTTAGTGGATTGTTTGCTGACAAAATATATGAAATTATTTAAGGCGATATTCCACATAATTCTCGAGATGAAAGTATAGATCTGCAAATAAATACACGTAGCATGTGCATGTGTGCATAGCTTCTGTGTCAGTACACAGCTTGTGAACATGTGCGGCGTTGGGTTCGGCATCAGGTAGTCGTTGTTCCGTTTCTTCATATTATTTTTTAGCTATAGTTTTACTTAACCTTACTCTAATATAAATTATGAATAGAAGTGCCAGTTTAAAAACGTTAATTTTGTACTTTCTTTTTTACTTTTGAAAGTTATTAGCTAATACGTTATTGAACATATCTTTTTACGATTAGAATTTATCATAAGTCTGTA